AAAAAAAAAATATATATATATATATATATATAGTTCTCAAGTAGGGTGGAGCTGAGATATTTGAATGTTTTATTCTGTTCCTCCCCAGACTCTGTTCCAGCCTCAGACAGGTGCCTATCAGACCCTGGCCAAAGAGTGTGTGGCCCAAGGCTGCTGTGTAGATCTCTTCCTCTTCCCTAACCAGTATGTGGATGTGGCCACGCTCTCTGTTGTACCCCAGCTCACTGGTGGCTCTGTCTACAAATATGCTTGCTTTCAGGTAGGGCATGGGACTCTGGGTGGCAGGTGGAAGCAGGACTAGAATGTCTGCCTACATGCAGAGCAGCTCTTTAGCTGCTGACTCATTAATAGGAATCCTGGTGGGGGAGAAAACCCTATAATATAAAGAAGAGAGCCATAAGTGTAGTGGTTAGGAGCATGGGGCTTGTAATCAGTTTTGGGTTGTTATTCTGGCCCTCCCAGAATACTAGCAGTATGACCTAGGAGAAATTAATTATTGCTTCTTTGTTTCTTCATCTGTAAAATGGGAATTTAATATTTCTTAAGTAAGATTTGTCATCAGGATCAAGTTGTTATATGTAAAGTACTTAATGTGGTACTTGGCACATAGTAAATGCTTAAAAACTATCATTGTCATTATCATCATTATTATCATCTTCACTGTTATTGTTATTATGATTCAGCAGCTTGTAGAATGGAGGGGATGCAGGGAGATAGTCTCCAGGTTGTTATGTAGTCAGTGATGTGACTCTGGGCCTGGGGGGCTGCAGGTGGAGAATGACCAGGAACGGTTCCTGAGTGACCTGCGTCGGGATGTCCAGAAGGTTGTTGGCTTTGATGCTGTGATGCGTGTTCGGACAAGCACTGGTCAGTCCTGGTTGGAGAGGAGCAGGTTGGGGACTAAACCCGGGAGGGAGGCAAGTGGCACCTATAATATCTGTAGCCCTGACCTTATCTATGTGGCCTCAGGTATCCGTGCTGTAGATTTCTTTGGGGCTTTCTACATGAGCAACACAACAGATGTGGAGCTGGCTGGGCTGGATGGGGACAAGACAGTGACTGTGGAGTTCAAGCATGACGATCGGCTCAATGAAGAGAGTGGAGCCCTCCTGCAGGTAGCAGGCAGGAGGCAGGGGCTGGGGAGGAAGTGTCAAATATCATTGTACTGGATATAAATAGGCTGCAGGGAAGAGGGAGGGTAGGAGGTGGGTGGAGAGGACTGGAAGAGGCCAGGGAAGGGATGGCTCCTGTCTTTCTTCTAGCTTAATAATACAGCAAAGGAGCAGTTTTTCAGAGGGCTTTGGTGAGGGAGGGGTATGAGTTCTCCCTTTCTCCTTTCCCCTAGTGTGCCCTGCTCTACACCAGCTGTGCAGGGCAGCGACGGCTCCGTATCCACAATCTGGCCCTGAACTGCTGCACCCAGCTGGCTGATCTGTATCGAAACTGTGAGACTGACACGCTCATCAACTACATGGCCAAGTTTGGTGAGGGTAGACGCAGGGAGGGCAAAGTGGGATTGGGGCTGAAAGGTGGTTGTCAGTGATTCCGCATTCCCAGGTAGGTGTGGTGGCAGCAAAGCAGGTGCAATGGGGTGGCCAGCCAGTGACTGTGCTATCTCCCTTTCCCATCCAGCATACCGGGGGGTGCTTAATAGCCCCGTGAAGACTGTCCGTGATACTCTCATCACTCAGTGTGCCCAGATCCTGGCCTGTTACAGAAAGAACTGTGCCAGCCCCTCCTCTGCAGGACAGGTGGGCAAACACTGGAGGAATTGTTGGGACACATGTTCGCATTTGGGAGAGATTGCCCATGATCATTCACTTTATTTTGGTAACCCCTGCAGTTGATCCTTCCTGAGTGCATGAAGCTACTCCCAGTTTACCTGAACTGTGTGTTGAAGAGTGACGTCCTGCAGCCTGGAGCTGAGGTTACTACTGATGACCGTGCCTATGTCCGACAGCTGGTTACTTCCATGGATGTGGCTGAGACCAATGTCTTCTTTTATCCTCGGCTTCTACCATTGGTGCGACTGAGGGCTGGATGAGACATTGTGTGCTGAGAAAAGGGTATCATAGGAGGAAGGGAAGGGTTAATATTATCTGTGTCTGACACTAGTGAATTTGTTTTTAACCTGCATTATCTGATGTAATTTTCACACTGAAAAAGTTACTGAGGGATTGAGCTCTCTGAAATTTCGTTGGGGTGGGGGTGCAAATGTGTCTTACAGTCTTTGGTAAATAACCTTTGCCCCCTTCCTTTTGTCTAGACAAAGTCTCCCATTGAGAGTGCCACTGAACCACCAGCAGTTCGAGCATCTGAAGAACGTCTAAGCAATGGGGATATATATTTGCTGGAGAATGGGCTCAACCTTTTCCTGTGGGTGGGAGCAAGTGTCCAACAGGGTGTTGTCCAGAGCCTCTTCAGTGTCTCCTCCTTCAGTCAGATCACCAGTGGCTTGGTGAGGGCAGGGAGTCAAGGGGAATTTGGGTGTGGAAATGCATTTTGTGATATGAGTGGGAACCAGTAAAGTTTGTGTGCTAGTCCCCTTTAATAGCAGGGAACATTTGGAGAGGAGGGAGGGTGCTGTCATTATTCCCAGGCTTATTTCAGATTATGAATAAATCTGTGCTGGCGCATTTTTTTACTGGACTCAGAGTATCTTACCATAAGGATAAATGAATTTTGTGTTGCAGAGTGTTCTGCCAGTTCTGGATAATCCGCTGTCCAAGAAGGTGCGAGGCCTCATTGATAGCTTGAGGGCACAGAGATCACGGTACATGAAGGTAACACTGATCTAAACTCTGGATTTCTTACCTTGTCCTCTCCTGGAAAGGGGGGTGAGAATAAGTGATTGGATAATGGGATTTTAGGGCATGTTTAATTCCTTTTGGCCCAGCCTCATGACCCTATTTTCTGGCCATAGCTTATCGTGGTGAAACAGGAGGACAAGCTGGAGATGCTGTTCAAACACTTCCTGGTGGAAGACAAGAGCTTGAGCGGGGGAGCATCCTATGTGGACTTTCTGTGTCATATGCACAAGGAAATCCGGCAGCTACTGAGCTAGAGCAAGTGGGTAAATGGCATAGGGTGCCAGGCCAGCTTCCAGAAAGTACCCCAGGATGGCAGAGAAATTGGAACAGTTCCATATCTAAGTCATGTTAGCTGACCTCAGTCTCTTTGGGGGGAGGGGGAGGTATAAGGAGACACCTTTCTGGGATCAAGTATCCTACCACTCTGTCATGTCCTGCTGCTGAAAGGTGCCCCTATCCCCTCACATTACCCTCCTTTTCCTGCTAATCCTGTCGTAATGAATGTAGTTTCTCAGTTCACTGTATATGATTCGGTGTTGGGGGATTTGAAGGCACCCAGACTCTGGCAATATTATGTGTCCCCTTGGACCAGCCTCCAAGAAGAGAGGGGCAGGCAGGAAGGAATGGGAATCCCAGGGTTACCATGGGGGGGAGGGGCTAATTCAGCTCAGTGTCATCAACAACTTCCTATATTAGGTATAAAACATACAGGTGCACAAGAGCTGGGGTATAGACCATAGATGGTGGAGAGAGAAGTGGTTAGTCAGTCCTTCTTGGGCCTGGAAGTCAGCAACCAAGTCAAAGTTAGGGAGAGTGGTTGATTAGCTTTTCTCTCTCTCCTGCAATGATCAGTGATCACTCAATGGATAGAGGCACATTATCAGAGATGAATGAGCCTGGGAAATGAGTTGCAAAGAATATCAAGACCTGGGAGAGGTACCAGCCTCTTTTCCAGCTGGAGAGGCTCCAACACTGGATGGTTCTGTAGGGAGCCTGATCATCAACTTGCAATACCTCACAGAGCCAGCCCCTATCCCACTCTGAGCTCCCACTGGAAACACTGCTTCTCCAAGGTGGGAGTTGTTGGGGAGAGAGGCAGAGGCGGCTGGAGCTCTGTTCTCTCCTGCTGGGACACCACTCGAGCTTTGGTATTGACAGAGTGGCTGACAGTTATCTTCCAACCTGAACTGGCTGGGGCAGGACAAGGGCTAGGCTTGATGGTGGCCAGGCTTGTCTGCTCCCAGCCTGGGATTCCCCTGCTCTGGACCTCTCATTTATCTTCATTGGTTTATTTTTCAATGCATCTTTAATTTGTAAAGAAATAAAATAAATTAAGATGTAACAATTAGCCTCATTTTTACGTGATTTACCGTTGTCCCCTGCATTCATTCCTGCTAGGCCTAGCACTTCCCAGGAAGTGGCCGGCTGAGCAGAACTGCGCATGCGTCACGCGCACCGCGGGCGTAAGACCTCGTCCGTCCCGACTCACCGCAGGGCGGGGTCTGGTGCTGCCGGGAGGAGTTGGGGGCGGGGGAAAGGAGGCAGCTGCCAGTGGACATGGCGGCGGGCCGCAGCAGGGCTGTGTTTGCCGTCTTTGGCGTGCTTAGTGTTTGTGCGGTCAGCGGCTCTGGGCCCGTGGCTGCGGGGGAGACGGGCGGGGAGGCGGAGTGGACGGAGCCTTGGGATGGTGCGGTTTTCCGGCCGCCCTCAGCGCTGGGCGCGGTGGGGGTGGCGCGCAGTCCGGGGACCCCCCGGCCAGGGAGGGAGGAGGCGGGGGACTTGCCCGTGCTGCTGTGGTGGAGCCCAGGGCTATTTCCCCACTTCCCTGGCGACTCGGAGCGCATCGAGTGTGCGCGCGGTGCGTGCGTGGCGTCCCGGGACCGACGGGTGCGGGGGCACTCGCGGACGCGCGCGCTGCTCTTCTATGGCACTGACTTTCGCGCGTCGGAGGCGCCGCTGCCGCGCCTGGCACATCAGAGCTGGGCGCTCCTGCACGAGGAGTCGCCCCTCAACAACTTCGTGCTGAGCCACGGTCCGGGCATCCGCCTCTTCAATCTCACTGCCACCTTCAGCCGCCATTCTGACTACCCGCTGCCGCTGCAGTGGCTGCCCGGGACCGCCTACCTGCGCCGCGCCGCGCCTCCGCTACAGGAGCGCGCGGAGTGGCGCCGTCGCGGCTACGCGCCGCTGCTCTATCTGCAGTCCCACTGCGACGTGCCTGCGGACCGGGACCGCTACGTGCGCGAGCTGATGCGTTTCATCCCGGTGGGTGGGGCCGGGCCGGGGCTGGGGTGGGGGGGCGAGGGGGCGCGTGCGGCTGAGGCCAGGACTTCTGGCGTCCAGGCCGACATGCAGCACCCACTTGACGGCCGTACTCTACCCCGCTCAGGTGGACTCCTATGGGAAATGCCTGCAAAATCGGGAGCTGCCCACTCCGCGGTTACAGGACACAGCCACAGCTACCACCGAGGATCCAGAGCTCTTGGCCTTCTTGTCTCGCTATAAGTTCCACTTGGCCCTCGAAAATGCCATCTGTGATGACTACATGACAGAAAAACTGTGGCGCCCCATGCATCTCGGGGCTGTGCCTGTGTATCGCGGCTCTCCCTCTGTGAGGGACTGGATGCCCAACAATCACTCCATCATCCTCATTGATGACTTTGAGTCACCTCAGAAGTTGGCAGAATTTATTGACTTTCTGGACAAGAATGATGAGGAATACATGAAATACTTGGCATATAAGCAACCTGGGGGCATCACCAACCAGTTCCTTCTGGATAGTCTGAAGCATCGGGAATGGGGAGTGAATGATCCTTTGCTGCCTAACTACCTCAATGGTTTTGAGTGTTTCGTCTGTGACCATGAACTGGCTCGGCTGGAGGCCGAGAAAGCCCACGCAGCCTCTCCTGGGGACATCCCTGGCCCTGAACCTCACATTGCCCAGCCCTCACACATGGACTGCCCGGTGCCCACACCTGGCTTTGGCAGTGTGGAAGAGATTCCTGAGAATGACAGGTAAGGATAGCCGGGGTCCCTGTGGCCATCAAATCAAATGATTGACTTGCTTGCTGTGGGCAGTGAACTAGTACTAGGTGCTGAGGGGATTGTGTATGAGGAAATGATGACATGGGCTTACCCTGCCTTTAAGGTGTCAAGAGTCTAGTTGGGGAGATAAGACAAACTGAAAAAGCTCAGGAAAAGATGCAAAATATAATTCAAGGCAACAACATGAAGATCAGCTTATGTGAGCAGTGTTTGCAATAGTGATTCAGAAAAGGCTTTAACCAGAGCAGAGAGGGGCCTGTTCAGAGGAAGTGATGAGAGACAAAGTTGGGCAGATAAACTGGGGTCAGGCTATACATAGCCTGAATACCAGGCTCAGGAGTTGGACTCTCCTGAAAATCAACTCAGGTGTTTTATTTAGCACCTTCTAAAGGGTGGGGTGGAGAAGAGCAATACAAAGATGGATATTTTGAGAGAGGTTTGTCTGCAGTAGGGTTTACATCTGTTAACCTGGCATAATTATTAATAGTACCTCCTTTCACTCTCAAAAGTACCCTGGTTTGGATGATAAATTATATACGTTCGCTTTAAACAAGATAGGACTGCTTTCAATAGATAATAATGAACAATGGTGGGCAGTGTGAATTGGAAGAGAAGTGAGGAAGCTACTGCAGTAAGTGGCAAAAGGTGGTGCACTGGGAAACAAGGTCAGCATGGGAGGTGAGAAAATGTTGAAGACACTTGGAGCAAACCACATCTTTTCAGGGAGAGGTGATAAAAAGATTATTAAGCTTAAGAAAGCAAAGACTGCTAGAATGGCCTGCAGAGACCGACTTGCACAGTGGATGGCAGCAGAGGGCTGTTTATATACACTGCTGACACAGTTTGGTTCTGGGAATGGAGTCCTCCATCAAGTAATTTGTATCTAGTTTATGCTGAACATGGTATTATGATTTAGTAGAAGAAAAGTGTAAAACATTAAAAAAAGAATATATGTTTTATCTAGACATTGGACAGCACTGCACCTTCATTTTGATTATTGAAATAGAGGTGCAACTTACAAGGTAACCATCTGAAGAGGCTCCCTGGCTTTTCTTTTTTTTTTTTTT